GTTCATCATAGCAAATTGCGATTTCTTCGACTGCAGGAAATGCTGAAAAGCGAGCGGGTCCGTGAGAAGCGCGCCCACGTTTGCGTGCTCGTCCCCTGCGCCCATGCAGTTAGAGTGACTGCAGGCAAACTGTTGCTGCTCAGAGCTTAGATCGTTAGTAAAGTTTTTATCTCGTCGAATATTAACGTAAATCCGAGCTCGGCGGCGGAGATGTTTCACGATTTCGCGTACCACAAGTATGAAGACAGTGTGGACGTCTACGACTTCGGGTTGCGTTCCCGCGTTGCGCGTCTCTCGGCCCCGAGCAGCATTTCTGCGTTTTGCGTGAGCAGTTCTGCGCTGTACGTGACTGCGGCGAATAAGTGCTCAGTGCTTGTTTACCCTGCACGTAACTTGCAAAAGCACGAGTTCGTCATTGTGTTGCCGAATGCAGCCAGAGCGTTGGTGCTCTCTCCGCGAGAAGATTTGCTCGCAGTAGTGCTAGTCGACCACACCGTCGCGGTGTACAGCACAACCGATTTCAGCCGACTTTTCCTAGTCCGGCTGTCGCCGCTCACTGAGTCTCGGCTCACGGGCGCAGCTTTCAGCAGCTGCGGTGACCAGCTCTTCTTGCTGTTAGAGACCACTGTGCTGGTGCTCTCCGTTGCAAGCAGCGCTTTGGCAGCGCTAAATTCCAGCGCAAGCGGGCTCAACTACAACATCGTTTACTCCGACATCGGGAAGAAAACGATTCACTTGCAGAGCACTATCAAAAGCTTCCATCAGTCGCACGTGTACGGGCAAGACTTTCTCACTGTAGTTACGGAAGACAAGCGGCTGCACGTCATTGAGTTGCAAAGTTTATCGGTGCTAGGCAGCCGCCTCATGCCGTTCAGTGTGGCACGCGCGCTGCTGCTCGAAGATTTTTCACTGTTCGTGCTCGCAAAGATCGGCACAAGTTTCGAGCTGCGCAGAATGAAATGTGCGTTTCGTAGTGCACCGAGCAGAACTTGCGGCTGCCAATTTGAGGTTTCTGAAGAGCTGGAGACCGTTCTTGGCTCTGGATACGTTTGGGAGCGCGAACCGCTTTTGGAAGCATGCGGCGAAAAGCTTTGCGTCTTCGAAGACAACAAAATGTTGCTAGTGAGCTACACTGGCGCATTGACTGCACTGACTTTGCAAATTAAAGTTGCACCGGACCACTGTATTGTTGTCCGGTCGCGGTTTGCGCCGCTGTACTCTCTTTTTGGCAACAAGTCGCTCTCGTTAGACAAAGCTGCGTTTGAGACGCCGCCATTGTCAGCTAAAGACTGCGTAGTGTTGTCTAAAGTAGGTAGTCCGACTTCTCACTTCCATTTGAAGCGGCAGGTGCTGAGCACAAAGATGTTTGCTAGCCGCTTTTCAGAAGCTCGAGTGCGCGAGCGGCAGTACGCAGCAGAGCTAAATCATCTGGTAGCGAGCACCCGAACGCTGACTGCTACAATCGCGGAAGATGAGCTGCGGCTCGCGGCAAGTAGCCGCTATTTGCTGCACGCTCTCGGTCTTCTGGACAAAATCAAAATTGGCTGTGAAACACAAGCGTAGAATTGTGCTTGCGCAGCAGCTCTAATAACAGCAGCAGCGCGTCTTCGGCTGCTGACCGCTCCTGCTTGTCCCTCAAGGCCTCAGCTAGGCGCGCGAGCGCAGTGCTCGCCTCGTTCGCAACGAACTGCAGCGGGGCGGCGTGCAGCAGCGCTGCAAGCACCTCTTCGCAACTGGCTGTGGCGGGAAGCGTAACGAGCTCTTGAGGCGCCTCGCCTTCTGGAGCCAAGAGCGGCAGCTCTGCGCGCCGAATAGAGTTCTCCGCAAGAAACCAGCGCAGCAGCAGCGGCAGCGGGGTCCGAGCCACCTCGACGCGCGAACTGATGATCAAGTCGTCCGAAGCGTCGTCGTTCGGCCGCAGCGCGACTTGTTTTTTCAGATAATGTAATGCAGCGACATTCTCGGAATTCATAAATTTTCATTTTCGCTGCAGCGATGCGAGTTAACTTAATCGAAAGGCTGCTAAGCGAAAAGGAGAACATTGACATCCGCAAACTTTCAGCAGCTGACTTCGAAGTTCGTCTGAAAGTAGAGATTTTTGCGCCGAAAGGCAAATTTAGTGTACTAGGCCAAATTGGTTCTTCGCATGACGTTGAGAAGGCGCTGCGCCATCGGCTTATCTCCCCCTCTGAGGCGCCGCTGAAGGGTATTATCGGTACACAGGTAGGAGCGTTCCGCAACCTGCGCGAATTTGTGCAATATTTTGTGCGCTGTAGCAGCGCGGTGAAAGTGGTACGTAATGAGTATCTGTTGCTGTTCGACTGCGACCGCGCTACCTACGCCGCAATTTGTGACGCGTTGAATCTGTGCTGCGAGTGAGCAGTAGCAGTTTTGCTGCGGCAGGGAAAACCTAAATTGGAGAGGAAAACACCATATTACACGCCTTTAAATCTTCGCACGGCTCTTAACGTCACGCTCGGCAATGGACTATTACCGTGTTTGCGACGAAGCCTGGACGCCATGGGACGCGCTGCTTAACAGCGTGAAAACCGAGAAACACGGCATTTTCACGCGCACTCTAGTCGAACAGCAGCTCTCGCTGGTGCAGAACTGCGGCACACGCAACTTTGGGCAGTTGGAGTTGGCGGTGCTTGCGCACCTGTTCAGCGGATCGTTGTCAGACATGCTGGACTTCATTGACCTGATGCTTTCCGTCTTTAAGTCGCGTCGGCACTCGAAGCGACACGTGCTTGTGTGTCTCGTGCTGCTGAAATTGGTGTACGACGAAAAGTACTTCGGCGTCGCCGCGCCGCCAGCGGCATGGGACGGTTTTCTGCAGCTGCTCTACTTGGTGGCTTGCTCGCCAGTCACGCGAGAGACGTTTGTTTGCGACTTTCGCGACTGCAACGTGCGCGGCACGTCGTCAGTGCTGTCACGCCTTTGGCGCAAAATGGGCTTTCTCTCTGCGTACACCTACGTCGGAAGCTACAGCGAGTTTCGCGATAAGTTCGGCCAGAGCAAGCAAGAGATCTACAACCTCGCATCTTACTTGCTGGTGGAGTTCCGCTATCGCGCCTTCTACGACTACTACCGCTCGCTGCAAAGCTTGCCGCACGTGCAGGCCGTAAACAAGGTGTACAATGACATCGTCGAGTACGACAAGATGGTTCGCATGAATCTGCTCGAGGCGCTCAGACCGTTGTTAAAGGCCAGCATCCCTTTCGACCGGCTTGTCCGCAAGTTGTGGCGCCCGCACAGCCGGCGCCTGTGGGTCAACTGCTACGACCGCGCGTACCTCAACGGCGTAGAAGTGCCTGCCTACAACATAGTCAGCATATACAGCAAAGGTGCCGGCGTGCTCAACAACTCGACGAAGACGCGGCGCGCGAAGACCGAAGTCGAGTCTGCCTTCGCGTACGACACAGTTAAGAAAGTGCTGGCGCACTAGCCATTTCTATGCTAGACGCGTTGCTGCGCAGTAGGCGCTTAAGCGCGCCTCTGCGTACTAGTTTTTCACACGGATTTTCGTTTTCTGGCAATCTGCGCGAAGCTTGCTGGCTTCTACAATAAATTTTTGAGTTTTTTTCAGCTGCGCCGTCGAATCGATCAAAATCGAACGTCCTTTGTGCTTGAGCCGCGCAATGCGGCCGATGCGGTGCACATATGACGTGGGACTCAAGGGCAGCGTGTAGTGCACGACCCACTTCACGCAGTCCATGTGGATTCCGCGCGACATTAGGTCTGTGCTGATCAGCGTTCTTACCTTTGAAGACAGCCGAAACTTGCGAACTACGATTTCTCGCTTGGCGGGCGGCAGCTTGCTGCTGAGAACGAGGAACGGGATTCCGCGCGCTTCCAACGCATCGGCGACGAGTCTGATGTGCGCCGCGTCGTTGACGAAAACCAAACACTTCTTCTGCGTAAACTTTGGGTAGCTGAGTAGTTTCGCCACTCGCCCGCCTAAGTACGTTTCAAGCGCACCGGTGCAGAGCTCTACGCGCTGCTTCAGCCGCTTCGTTTCGCGCTTCGATCGGTCGCACGTGATGATGATGGGGTTATGCAGTCGCAGTCCTGTGTACTCGCTGAAGTTCATGACGTCAGTTGCCGTGAAGACGAGTTTCGTGAACTGCTCACTGCAGTCGGAGCCTGCTTGCCGCAAGGCGTGCAGGCGGTCGACTGGATTGGAGTCGCTGCTGTAGGACTCAAAGAAGGGCGGCAACGGCGCGCAGGAGTTTGCGGCAACGCCGCGTCGCTCGTCCTGCAGCCGCGTGATGTTAGCGAGAAAGAACTGCCAGGTATTCAGAGACAGAGTAAGCAGCTTGTCGATTTCGTCGAGCACGACAAACCGCAAGGTCTTTGCGAGACAGTTGTCTGCGTACCCCTGTGCGTACAGCTCGAGGTAGGGCAGACGTGATGCGAGAGCAATCAAGACATTGGGGTGACAGTTCGGTACAATACCGAACGCTTTGGCGGACTCGGTCGCGAGTGGGTCGCCGCACGTGACGAGCCTCGACTCGCGTTCCGGCAAGTCGGCGCCGTCGAGCACAGCGCAGCTGAACGGTTGAGCCTCGTCATAGAATGCGCGGAAGACGTGAAAAGTCTGTTTTGCCAGCTCGCGTGTGGGCACTACGACCAGCGCGCAAGTGCCCGCGCGTAATCCGACGTGCATTGCGTACTCGACGCAAGGAACGGCGTAGCAAAGTGTCTTGCCAGCGCCGGTGTAGATGTTGCAGTACACGTCGCGCGCGACGAAGTCGTGCGGCGTCGCTTGACGCTGCTGCAGCAAGCGGCGTACCAGCGTTTGGTACGGATAGAGCCGTTTGACGTTGAAGCGCGTCCGCAAAACGCGCTTGGTGAAGGCTTCGACGTCGCGCGTCTCAGCCAGCGTAGGCATCTCAGGCGCTGTTTCGCGGAAGGCTGGCCGCGAACCGGTCGTTGTGCTGAACCTGCGCTGGTGAAAAGCGAATGTGCCAAAATCAAAATTAGTAAAATTAGCAAAGATGGAAGCCGCCGATTCTAGCGTACTGCTTCTGATCGCTCACCCTGACGACGAATCAATGTTCTTTGTGCCGCTTCTCCACTGCTTGAGCACGAAGGTGACCACTTTTCCAGACTGCGTTCACGTTGTGTGCATGACAAACGGCGGAACGCACCGCGAAGCTGAGCTGAAGGCGGCCTTGCACTCGATATACAAAATCCAGAACATCGCGATCTTCAGCAATGAGGACTACCCGGACTCGCCGGCGACGCCTTGGGATTTGCAGAAAGCATCTAAAGCGGTGCTCGATTACGTGCAGCAGCACAAGATTGGCAAAATCTACACGTTTGACGAGCACGGCGTCAGCGGACACCTGAACCACGTCAGCTGCTGCCGGATTGCAAACTTGCTGAAAATTCAGCTTCAAGCGCAGACGCCGCAGGGGCGCGTGTACCACCTAGCGACGGTACCATTGGCGCTGAAGTACTTGTCGGTGCTCGGCGGGTGTTTATACGCGTTGTACCTCAAGCTGCGACGCAGGCGCATTCAGTTGATATACGACCCAGCGGGCTTGTTTGTCGCGCACGACATGCTGCGCAAGCACGAAAGCCAGGCGGTTTGGTACCGTATCCTTTTCGTGACATTATCATGGTAAGTTTCTGCGGCGGATTTTCAGCTACTCGCATCTTAATATTTTTTTCGAATAAGCGCGATCAGATTGCCGAGTGATGCGGTGGCGAGGCGTAACGGCTGCACTGCTCGCGCCGCTGAGCGGTGCACTCGACGCGGAGCTCAGCGAGATCTTGCGCAAGTTCGAGCAGGCGCCAGACGAGCCCGCGCCGGAGATTACCATTCGTAGGTCGTGAGCACAGAGCTCCAGGCTTTGAAGACAGTGTGCGCGAGAACGCAGAGGCGCATGCGCTAACTCCGGCCGTAGAAGGGAGTATTATGCGAGAGCTCGAAGCGCCGTTGATGTCCTTTTTGTTCAATGACGCAGCGACGATTCAGCAAATTTTCGGTTCGGAAAGGATCGAAGATTTTTACCTCGACGACGTGGCTTCGCTGGCCAACCCGCGCGGAGAAGAATCAAGATCAGCGGCTGCAGATGTCAACGCTGAGCGGCAGAAGACGACAGCGCCGACGCAGGACACGGATTCTGCTACAAAGACTGCGACGAGCCAAGACACGCAGAAAGTTGCGGAGGCCGCGACGAGCCAAGAAACGCAGAAGGTTGCGGAGGCCGCGACGAGCCAGGACACGCAGAAGGTTGCGAAGGCCGCGACGAGCCAGGACACAGGGTTGCCAGCAAATGCCGCGCAGGAGAAGGAGAAAGTCGTGTCTAGCTTGCGTCGCAGCGGTTCTACCGCTGACGCGCAGCGGTCCGCAGCGTCACTACATGCAGAGACGGAAACGCCCAGGAGCGATAAAGAGAACGTTCGCGTTGCAGAAAGCGCGACGACGCTAGGGGACGTCGCGGAGAGAGAAGCCGCGGGAAGCGCAGCCGTGGAGGGCGCAGTTGCGCCGAGGGCGAGCCGGGTGGCTAGCATTTGTCACCTGTTTAAAAAAGACTACTTCGACGGCGCGACTTGGCGCTGCCGAAACGAAAATGCGCTCGACGTGATTTTGACAAAAGAAGAAAGCATGTTGCGCGCGCTGGCGCGGCAGGAAGCGCTGCGCATTGCGCAGCACCGCGAAGCGTACAGTTCAGCAGCGCTGGATCGCGAGTTCTTTCCGCGGCCGAGCCTCATTCGTTTCGTCGATGTGAACAAAATCGTCAAAGCAGAGCTCGGCTCGGAGCTTGTGCTATAGCGCACAGCGCTCCGAAGGAGCAATTAATTCTAAATAATTTTCGAAGCAGCTCACTCGCGAGACGCGCGTATGACTAGGAGACACAAGCGCGCCAGCAACAGTGGCTGTCACCGCGATTACGCGCGGGTGCACAAAAACTTGAAGAACCGGCGACTCGACCGAGACCAAGGTACGTTGGTGACAACCGTTGCTTAGTAGTGGCCAACATGCGGCAAAACTATAAGCCAGAGCGCGACCCGGCGCTCGTAGGCGAAGGCCAATTCTACTGCGTCTGCTGCGACAGGCACTTCGCGAGCTCCGCAGTGCTGGACGGTACGTTTCGCGCGGCGCGACGTAGTACACATCGGCGGGAAAAAACACAAAAGGCGCGCGAAGGAAGTGGCGAACGACAGCAGACTGCCGTACACAGTTGCCGACGCGCACGCCTGCGGTTTGTAAGCTGCGCACGCTCGCGCAGCGCTCGGCTGCGCGCTCATTGCGCGGTCGGAAAGCGGGCAACGTAGTGCTGCTGCAGTTTTTGCACTTGGTGCTTCAGCTTTTCGAGAACGAATATTTCTTCGTACTCGCTGTTGCGCACGCGCAGGGTTGCGAGCGTCGTATCTAGCTGCGCGACGAGCTGCGCCGCGGTGCTCTCGCGCTGGGGCCCAAACGCGGCGTGCTGGCTTTGCAGCGGCGCGTCGGCCACGCGCGCTTCGAGCAACGCCTCCGCGAAGTCGAGGTAGGTGGTCAGCGTGCAACGCAAGTGCTGCTCGAAGCCTCGAAGTTGGTCGCAGTAGCGTGCCTGCTTGAGCGGGTTGAAGTCGAACTTGAGCAGCATCAGCGTCTCGCGCTGCGCGAGGAGATCGGCGGGCTGCTGCGCAATCGTTTGCGTGAGCCCGGGCATCGCGAGGTCTAGCGCGGCGGAGACACGGCGCACGACAGTTTCTTCGCGATTGTCGGCTGCGCCGCGCTCAGCGAGCGCGGCGCGCGCACGCAACAGCTCCGCGAATGCACGCAGGTGCTGCTCGACACGGACGAGCGCTGCTTCGAACGTCGCGGGCTCCAGCGCGACGCGCTGCGCAACGAGCAAATCGTGGCAGATTGGGTTCAGCAGACAGCGCTGCGCGGCGCGCGGCAGTCGCATAGCGCTTAGCAGCTCTCGCAGCAGCAGCGCTGCGTGCACTTTGACGTAGACGCGTATCGATTTTCCGCTGCCGAGAATTGTCTCGAGACTCGGCAGGGCAAGAGTCGGCGCGGACAGCCGCGCGAGGCAACTCCGCAAACACGCGCGCTGCTGCGCGAGCGATGGCGAACTCAGTGCAGCGAGCACGTGCTCGTCTGCGTAGTGTATCGGCTGCTCTTTCATTCGCGCGAGTCCGCGCCGCGCGCTGCGCAGCAACAGCCCGCTGGCGGAGACGGCGAGAAAGACGCCCGCCAATAACTCGAGCTTGCCGAACGTGAGTGCGCTCAAGCGGAGCGGCTGTGCACGCGAATAGTCGTGGCCTGCTAGTAGTGAGGCGCTGCGTAGCAGCGCGTGCAGCAGCTGCGGCCAGTGCTGCAGCGCGCGGAACAGTCCGCAGCTGAACGCGAGTGCGCCGAGCGCGTGGCTGACTCTGAAGAGCGTCCCGCGTTGTGCAACTGGATCGGCGACGACATGCTCGGGCACAGACTCGTTGAGCACACTGTAGTTCAGAACGACTGCGTACACAAGCGCTGCGAGCCAAAATTCTACGGGCCAGGCGGCGCGCTCGGCGCCCAGCGCGAGCTGCAGCAGGCTGCGCGCAAACTTGAGCGTCAGTGCGACGCTCGCGCAGAAGCGCGCCGCTTTCGCCGCGAGTTGCCTAGCGGTGAAGCGGCGCATGAAGCGGTCGGCGACAGGCAGCGCGCCGGCGCAAGCGTTGAGCAGCAGCGCGTTGAGCAACAACGCGCCCTCTGCAAGTTCGCGGGCAGATCCGCGCGGCACGAATCGGAGCGCCGCGAGCGCGCGTGCCACGACGCAGAAGCTCACACTGGCGTGGATCAGCAGCGAAAGGAGCCAAATTCCGCTCTGCAAGAAGCCGAAGTTCGCGAGCAGCGCGCAAAAGTTTGCACGGTTCTGCAGCGCGAGTTGCTTGAAGTCGCGTTTCGGCGCGCACGCAGCAGCAGCAGCGGCCAACGCCGGCGCGCGCGCCGCGGCAGCCCGCGCGCGCTTCACAACGTAGTAGGGCATACCGGGCTTAAAAAAAATATACACTAATTAGAGAGCGCTAAATGATCAAGAGCTCGTCTACGCCCCAGTCCTCGTACTTGCCGTTCGGCAAGTAGCGACGCAGGATGAAGGGCAGCGTTTTGGCAGTCAGCTCTTTTTCAGCGAGCGTGAGCGGGTCGGTCTCGCCCTCGGCTGCGACAGTGATAGGCGCGCCGAGACTGATTTGCAGCGCGCGCGTGCCGAGAACGCGAGCCTTCTCGAACTTAGTCATGAAGGGCGAGGTGATGCGCGGACCCTCGCTCGGGCGTGCGCGCGCCTTCGAGCCGCTGGGCGACGCCGCGTCGGCGAGGACGTCGCTCGCGACGTCGCGCGCCAGGTCGTGCGCAGAGGCGTCGGCAAGGTCCTCGTCGGAGTTGAAATCGTCATCGCTGTACGCCGTAATTTCGATATCGCTCATGGTCGCGGCGATAAATAAAAAGGGCTGTTCTGGGAATCGAACCCAGGACTTCTTCCACCCTAAGGAAGAATCATACCACTAGACCAAACAGCCAAGAGCTACGAACGCAGACGGGAACGGGTGGGTGCTCCAGCTCCGCGCGCAGGTCTAGTGTGTTCTTCCAGGCGCTATGGCCTAATGGATATGGCATCGGTCTACGGAACCGGGGATTCTGGGTTCGAATCCCAGTAGCGTCTTAGCTTTTTACTCCTCGGAGACGCGTTCGGCGCGAACCAGAAACTGCGTGGTGGCCCACGGCACTTACATGTTTGTAGGCCAGGCGGCCGTTGAAGGTTTCGGGCTTGGTGCGGACGCCGAAGTTATATAAATTTTCGTTTGGCGCCAAGTACTTATCCAGCCCTCCAATGATGACGGTGCTGCTCGCGTCCTGTTGGGTTTCGTTGATGATCTGCTCGACGGTGAGCCCGACAAGGCTCATCGCGGCCTCTTCGAAAACGGTGCAGCGCAACGTGCCGGTCGCGTCCTGGATGTCGATTGAGAACGAGTAGCGGTGCAGCGGCTTCTCGACCATTGCGTTGCAGGTGTTGCACTTGTACCTGTCCACAATGTTGATCGAGTCGAGCTCGTCGAGCTGCACGGACTCATCGAGATCGCGGAACACCTCGACGCGGCGGTTGCAGGTCGGACATGCGTCGTACCAGAACTCGCCTTTCATGTTGTACACAATGTTCCCGATTGAGCCGCGGATATTGCAGGTGCTCAGGCGGCTCTGAGCGTTCATCGCGTGCAGAGGCAGCTCCGCAAAGTGATCGACGACCTCCTTGACAGTGGCCTGCGTGTAGGACGCGGCACTGTAGGCGGCTGCCGCGTTGAGCACCGCGAAGTCGGATGCTTTGGCGGCGTTAATCATCTCGTGCGTGTAGAGGCTCGGTGGCGTGTCGTCCTCGCCGCAGACTAGCGCCTGCGCCTTGCGGTCAAAGCGAAACAGCGTGAACTGCGAACGCGGCGTGACCGTCAGACAACGGCCCATGTACTCGTCGATGCGCAGCTTCGTCGCTTCGACCACTAAGATCACACCCGGCTCGGCAGTTGGCGGGAACGCCTCGCAGTGGCTGTTGAACAGCGTGAGACTCACGGACTTCGAGGAGTTGTCGCAGACCTCCAGCCGCCGCCGCAACAAGCTTTCTCCTGAGCGCTTCGAGAGCTGACTAACTGCGTCGTACATGCGCTTCACGAAGAAGACGGTATTAATCGAGCCTCGGACCTCCTTCTGCTCAATCGCGGAGAGCGGCTCGAAGTTTTTCGGCAGCTGCACTGGCTGCGCGTTCGTCTCCTCCGTCACTATGCTTTTGCTGTTGATTTCTAGCTCAAAGTCGTTCTCAGTGCGGCGGAACCGCTGGTTCGACTTTTTGATCATTGGGTTCGTCACAACGTAAGTTTTTCCGCGCACGAAAAGGTCTGCGAGACTCGTCGCAACGTTGTTCCACAAAACCGCCTCGATTTCACCGGTGGTGTCCTGGAAAATCAAGTTCAGCCGGGTGCCAGCGCCGTTCGCGCTCACGTACGATGTAGGCCCAATTTTCTCCGACAAGTACAGCCGCAGCGAGCAGTTCATCAAGTAAGGATTGATATCTGCAATGTTTGTGATGACGGTTTGCGATGCTGGCCCGCTCGAAGAGGAGCCGAGTGCGGCGCTCTCCGATTTCGAGAGCAACTCTACAGACTTTCGATTGTATGCGTCCGCGGCCAGCGCTGCGGGCGGCGCAGACAGCTCAGAGAGCTCGTCGCCCTTGGCGTTTTCCGCCGGCTGCATAAAGCTCGGCAGAAGGCGCTTGCGATTCTCAGTCTGCGGGTCCTTCTGGTTTTCCTTGTTGAAGTCCTCAGTGGAGAACGTGCGCATCGGATGCGAGACAGGTTTGAAGTTTTTAAGCAGCTCCGGATCGAGCTCGCAAAGAATCTTGTACTTCGAAGCGCAAATTACGATCTCACCGTTTTGCTTAATTGCCACCGGGGTCGTCGCAGGCAGACTGATGCACGCTCCCGGCTTCAGCGCCGGGTCTTCGGCGCAATTAAGCAACAGCGCGCGAATGAAGTAGACAGTGTGCGTGTCATCCTCCACGGTGCCAGGAGTGCCGTCGATAAGCAACAGTGCAGTCGAGTTGGGCCGAATGGGGTGAAGCCGAAGTACGTAAAACGCCAGGTCAGACTCCAGCTCGAAACCGGCCTGCGAAATCGCGACGTCCAGGTTGCCGTAGCAAATTTCCGGGTACATTGCTTAGCAATTAATTTGCAATCAGCAAATAAGTTTTCCAAAAAGTCCGCAGTTTCCGCGGCGCACCGCGGCGTGAAACGCCGCGCAGGTGCATGTATCTATGATGACTTTTCTACTTTCTGCAGCAGAGCGTCGTGCACATTTACTAAAAAGGATTCGCTAGCACGATTCTGCGCTAGCAGTTGCTGTGTCGACGTCGCCTGGCACGTGACCACGATTTCCGTGTTGTAGCCGTCCAACGGACAAGAGTCCTCGCAAGTATACTCGATTTTGAGCTTTTCGTAGTCGAAAGCCTGGCTGACCGGAACGAACATGTAGCTCTCGTAGACCAGTGTTTGCATGTCTTCCTTTGGCTTGAACTTGTAGCGCATAGGCGAGAGGGGCAGGTTGACGTGCGTATATTCGTTGACGAAGGTTACGAACAGACCTTTGGGGAATTTGAGCACGTATCGGTCCGTGTTGACCGATTTCTTAAATACGTGTGCTAATTTACGGCTCGTAGCAGTGACCAGGTAGCGTTTTTTGGCGTCTGCCGCGATATACTGGAACGCGTAGTGGAAGTCCACGCGTACATAGTCCAGCATGTCTGACTGGGTAGCGCGCTCGCATTCCGTCAAATCTAATATGAACTGTCCGTTGCCGCGCGCTATCCGCCGCTTCGGCTCCCAGTGACCCTGGTCCGTGTAAACGTGTTCCTTCTTGAGTTTGCCCTTGACCTGCACCGAGTTGGGAATGTGCCGCTTCTCTGCTAGAATCACTCGGTTTGCGCGCAGCTGGATGCGCGCGTGATCGCAGTGAGAGCACAACGCGATAGTTTCCTTTTCGCCGCGCGGCTGTTCTTCAATTGGGACGTGCCCCAGGCATCCGAAGTTTGCGCACGCCTCCGCTGGCGACAGTGCCTTCAGATGATCTATGGGACGCGGCCCTGCACTACTCAAGTCGAGCTGCTGTTGCACGAAGTAGCCTAAGGCTCCAGCGACCAGAAAAGAAATCGCCGAGAAGCGAGTCATTTTGAGGTGCCTAGGAGTAAAAATTTAAATGCACGAATTTATATGTCGCTCGAGGCGCGTCGATAGTGCTCCTGGAGCGCAGTTCGCAGACGCGTCGAGGCGATGACGTCCAGTCCTGCGGGCTGCGTCCGCACGAACTCCGTGATCTTGCGCTGCATTTTGCGCTTTTTCTGTTTGCGGCGCAGCTCTTCGAGCTCTGCGAGCAGCTTACCCGCAGCGTCGCGCGTCGTGCTGCAGTGCCGCATCAACAGCTTGCGCAAATCTTCGTACAGCGGCGACGCCCAGTGCAGCGCAGGCTGCTCGCAGCGCACCGTCGGGTGCAGCAACGCCTCGAAGGCGGCGCTGTCCGGAAAATCGCTCGGCACAATCCAGTAGCGCCGGTATCGCTTGTGCCGCGTCTTGTACTCGACAAGTGCGGGCGCGTCCGCTGCAGTGACCTGCGGGTCGTCCAGGTCGACGAGGCTCGTGGCCCACTCGCGGAACGCAGTGAGCGGCACGAGTCCGCAACCAAACGCCAGCACGGTCTCGACTGCGTTGACGATGCCAATCCCTTTCACGCCTTCGGTGTAATCGCAGCCAACGAGCATCGCGACACTTGTGAGCATGTCAGCGCTTAGTCCGAGCTTCGAGTACAACTCGCGATACTCGTAAATCTCCAATTTGTTCTCTGCGACGAAAAAGCGGCGCACGGTGCACGGCGCTTGGAATTGGATGCAGTCGCTGTCGTCGCTGATCACGAAATCCACTAGACCTCGGCTGCACATTTGGCTGGCGTGCGCTTCGGCTTCGCCCGCCGCTACGAAGTGCGGAATGCCCAGCGCCTCCAGCAGCGCTATCACGTCCGCTGTTATGCGCTGTCGAAACTCCGGTCCGAAAACCTCCTGCATCACTGCAGAGTTTTCCTCCGCGAAACACAGTCCTTCGGGCGAGTGTAGGTCTGTGAGCTTGGCATTCTTGTCCAGTCCTGTTTTTCGTGGCAGCTCCAGCTGTTTTTCGAACTCTGCGAAGTTTGCCGCGACCAAACTGTTGATTCGTTGAATACGGGCCGCGGAGAGGCCCGCGACGGCGCTCGAGCCGGGCTCCTGAGCGTGAAGCGAGAACTGGCTCTGCAACTCGGCAACCATTGCTGCAGTGCGCGCCTGAGGCGCGCTGGGCTCCGTCGCCGCGCTCAGCTTCGCCTCGTTCTCCGCGTATTCGCGCGCGACAGTGTCGAGAGATGTGTCCACGGACAAATACCTCTTCAAAACTGCCCTGCTACGCTGATCGCTTGCGTAGCCTCTAGCGGGAGTAGCAGGCTCGCGAGCAGCTTCATCGCCAGTCCAAACTGGGCCAATGCGCTGCCTTGCCGAATGCAACTCGTCGGTTGCAGCTCCCTCGGCAATGAACGCGTGCGACTCACCCGCTGGCCGATCGTGCGCTGGAGTCGCTAGCGCGTCGCGAAGCCATTTTCGGTCGTTCTGCACGTTTTCAGACACTTCTGTGCCAGAGCTCAAAGGCGGCTCGATGAGAACATCCTCAGCAAACTTTGACTGTGCGCCGTCAGCAGTCTCGCTTGTGTAGCTCGGTAGTGAGCCAGCGGCGGCAGTTTGGATGGTGCAGTTCGGCTGCGCGTCACCGTCGCCAGCTACGCTATCGCAGCTTGCCCGAATATCAGCGTCTGCTTTGCTTTTATGAGCAGTGCTAGGATCTAATGGTGAGTTAGGCGCGGCTTCCGTAGCTGGCGGCGGGGAGTTCGGCGCGCAAGGAACTTCTAAAGGATTAATAGGATCGGTGGCTGGCGCTGCAAAGACAGCGATATGCGGCTCCGCTTTGAACACGACTGCAGGCTTGTGGGTGAAGTTCAGCGTGGGACGCGCGCTCGGCGCGTTCGCAACGAAAGGAAGCACGTTCGCAACGCTGCGTACAGTGCGCGGCTCCGTGTCGCGAGTCGCGCTAGCCGTCGTTTCTGTTGTCGCCGCGTGCGCCGCAGAGCTGTACCACGAGTTATCGAGCGTCGAGACGTTGACTTTCTTCCTTGCGCACAACTTGTTCCAAATGCGGCCAGACGAAGAGCGGAAGGATTGGCTGCGAATGTCGCGGAAAAAGTGCAGCGGAAGTAACGCGGTGGGCGCGGTTTCTTCCAACGGTTCGCTTTTCGTGGTGAAATGTTGGGTTGCGTTGATTTCCTGGTTGAGCAGAGTCAGAAACTCCTCATCTGGTTCCTTGCTTTGCTCATCCTCGGTTTTGACAGTCTGAACTAAGTCCATGTGCAGCAGACCAAGCTCGCGCTTGGTCGCGGCGATCTGCGCGGTAAGGTCAGAAGCGGCAACGTAGTTCGCGAGCTGCTGCTCGCTGAAGTGCGCAGAGCGCAGCTCAGCAGCAAGCAGCTCGTCGGTGTGTCGCCGTGCCATTAGCTCGCGAATTTCCGTGAGTACCTGGTAACGCGCTTTTGGTTCAAGCGCGTTGACGCTGCGCAGGCTTTCAGCGTCGAGGCCCTTCAAGTGAAACAGCGCCTTGCGGTTGTCGGCGTTGAGGTAGGATATCTGGAAGCCCGGCGCGCCGGAGGCGAGTAGCGCACTCTCGCCTCGCAAGCGCGCCCGCGTGGGCGAGAACGAGCGCCGCGCCGAGGCACTCGGCGAGGCGGTGAACTCTTCGACAAAACGCTTGATTCGCTGCTCAGCGGCGGGTTCTGGCGCGAGTGCGCTGTTGAAGAGCACGTCTGCAGGCGTGACGCGTGGCGCGTCGTTTGGCAGCTCGGCGAGCGCTTTTGCGCGGCGTGCCTTATTTGTGAAGAAATTTTTGAGCAGTGCGTCGGTCGAGTGTCGGATGGCGTCGGCTTCGCGCAGCCGCGCATCCAGCCGACGCAGCAGCGTCTTGCGCTTGCAGGCTGGCGGCTCGCCGTCGAATATGAACACAGGGTACACGTGGTAAGCCAGCAGCCGCAGGATGCGCTTGAAGAAGCCGAGCAGCAGCGCGTCGACCTGCACCTGGCCTCGTTCGTCGAGGAAGACGTTCACAAATTGCGCCATCCAAATGGACGCGTCGATTGCGGCGGTGCTGCCGGCGAGTTCCTGGATATTTGCGCTGCGCTTAATTGGTTCGACGAGCGACCAAAGCCCTTTGACGCCCATAGTTCAGACAGTGCTAGGACGCGGCGACCGCGATTGCGCGCCTCACATAACTTTGCGATGAATGATGTTCGGGCCCTCCTCTTGGAACTCCTCGCTGCTTATCCATAAATTAAAAAAACTAGATAAACTGCACAGCAGAGAGCCTCCGTTCCAAGCCGCGTTCCGAGAATTGGTTTGCGGGCCGAGCCGCACAACTGAGGAGACGGGAAGCACGCGGTTCAGAGCAGCAGAGAGCATCGGCGCAAACGTCTCCGACGCGCCGATCTCGCCGTTAAGAACTATGTTCTGGTAAAGCGCGGCACGCTCGGCGTTGTTGTAGGGCGCGCAGGCAGTGAGCACGCTGTGCTGCAGCCCGTGCAGCGGCGCACCAAGCAGCTCGCGGTGCAGCGGCGAACTACGGAACAAACAGTTCTGCACGGCTTCGAGCGTCTCCGGCGTAAACGCGAGCTCCGAGTCGTCAGGCAGCGAGACTGAGAAAGGTTGCTTGCAGTCGGCAGCGAAAACGGCCTCCTTCGCGCGGCTCAGCTGCTCACGCATCGCGAAGGGCAGTGTGTCAAAGTCAGCGGTCACGGGATGCTTCGCCGCGCACAGCGCGAATCGCGTGACGAAGCTGCCGGTGAGCGGGCTGCGCTCGGCAGCCTCGAAATTCCCGAGCGAGTTGACTACGGCTGTGACGCTTGCGGTCTCTGCTCCGACGCTTACCGTCACGCCAGTCGACTTTCCGCTAGAGTAGACGGCAAGGTGTCCACTGTTCACAGCAAACATCGCGCTCAACCCGACTTGCTCGAACGCGAGCGCGCAGAGTTGCTCAAGTTGCCGCGCGGGCGCGAAGGGATCCACAGCGAAGAGGCAGCTGCTCTTCGCGGGATCTTTGCGGAGTGTGTGCCGCAAAAGCGCCTCTACGAACAGCGCGTAGCGTTGTTCGTCGACGATCAGGCCGTGACGCACGATTTCCGCGACATCAGGCGTGGTATCTGCCGCAACGCCCGCCGGCGTGCCGGTGGCGCCGCACAGCGAGACGGTTGTGACCAACGGCTTCTCATCCGCCGCGAGCCCCGCCCGTGTATACCAAGAACCCGTGTCCAGCACGAGCACACTGCCCTGACTCATGAGTAAATCGCGAAACTAAATAAAGCGCATATATTTAATTCGGTCGTACCAGAGCGCCTCGACGTGGTCGTCGCCTGCGGTGCGCGGAATCAGGTTGAAAAAAAACGGCGTGCCATCTTCTCGGTTGTCGAACGCGAACACGTTCCAGCCTTCGATGTTGTCGTGCTCCGCCTCTTGCGTTCGGAGATGCTCGGCGATCATACAGAACGCCTCGGCCAGTTCGGCGTCAGAGTACTCTTCAATTGCGCGGCGCGGGTCCGTGCTTTGCAAAATGGAGTGCTGTTCCGTAAAGCCGACGCTCGGCCGTGCCAGTTTCCACATCAATATTAATTTAAAAAAATTGAACCGCGCTCAGCGTACGCCCGAAGTGGCGACAGCGCACGCAGCCGATGGGACGGCCACGTAGCGCTGCGAGTCAGTGCGGTCGAGGGGTGCTCGGATTTTTACCGGCGTCCAATTGCGCTAATTTCTGTT